AAAAAAAAAAAGTGTTGGAAAAAAAAAACCAAATAGTTGTTTTGTGAAGCCCAAATTGAGTTTAAGGCCCAAATTTAAAATTGAAGTCCAAATTCAAAGAGATTAATTGAAAAGCCCAAAAGAGTAAGCCCAAATTGAAAAGTTTAGTCTTGGCCCAATTTGAAGAGATTAATTTAAAAGCCCATAAGAGAAAGCCCATTATATTTTATTTAAAAGTGTTTTGTGGGAAAAAAAAACCAATATTATTATTTATTTATCTTTTTTGGAAGAAAAGAAAAAGGTTAAACAAAATCGGAAGTAACTTTTCCTGTAAATTGGGGAAGCAAGCTTTGTCTTAGCGGGCCGGGTTTGAAGAGGAAATCCTTTATACCCTCCTCATAGTAAGGACGTGGGAATCGGGGTGAACCCTCCGGCTATCACTGGAAGCGAGCAAAACCAATTTATAAGTTAAGTGAAACTCGGTTTAGTTTATAAGCTTTGTGAAAGCTAACAATGATTGGATTTATTCAACAGATCATTGATAATCCAAGAAATCCCATGGATTCAAATACTGCTCCAGGGAATGAGATTCCTGCTATGGATATCGATGAGAATCCTCATATAGCGGAGGTTACGAACCCCGTTAATCATGATGTTGCTGGCACAGATATGAATAATCAAGTGCCAAACGTTGCGAACGTTGTCCCACTAGGAATGCCTTCGGTTGTTGCGAACTCCGAAAACCAGGCAATTCCTATTGTGCCTATCGGCCCGGCTGAGAGACCTGAACAATTTAAGGGTCAAAATTTCAAACGCTGGCAACAAAAGATGTTGTTTTTCTTAACACAGCTTAAGTTGTCTCGGTACCTCACTGAAGAGGAACCAATCCCATAGGAGGGCAATGCCCAATCTCTAGCTAGTTACCAACAATGGAAACATAACAGTTTCATGTGTTGGAACTTTGTGCTGAACGGTTTGGATGATTCGCTTTATGGTGTTTTCTCCAAATATGTTACGGCAAAGCAACTCTGGGAAGCGATTGATCATAAATATCGGGTCGAAGAGGCTAACCAAGGACGAATGGTGGTAGCCAAGCTCCTAAACTACCGTATGATAGATACAAGGAGTGTTGTGGAACAAGTAGATGAATTACAAATCATCTTCCACAACTTGGCGGGAGAAGACATCATGGTAAATGAACGGTTCCAGGTGGCAACTCTGATTGAAAAATTGCCTCCCTCCTGGACGAGTTTCAAGAATGACCTGAGACAAAAACCTAAGGACATGTCTTTGAAGGATTTACATCGTCGTGTGAGAATTCGGCAGGAATCTCAACCTATTCTTAAAATGAATGGGCAGTTTGGATCCAAGGCAAATGTCGTTGAGACGACTAAGGCCAAAGGGATTAAGAAGCGGAAGATTGATAAGAATGTCAACTCCAAGAAATTCAAGGGGAATTGCTACGTCTGTGGCAAGACTGGACATCTAGCGAAGGACTGCTACCATCGCAAGGAAGGTGCCCAGAAAAAAATTGGGAATAAAACCCAAGCTCAGTAGCTGAAGTAGAAGATGGGGAGTCTGAATTCGTAGCAGTTGTGTCAGAAGTGAACATGGTCGGAGATAATCCGAGAGAATGGTGGATTGACACTGGAGCAACCCACCACATTTGTGCTAACAAATGGATGTTCACCACCTATGACACTGTCACCGGAGAAAGCTGCTATATGGGAAACTCTGCTGCATCCAAAGTGGAAGGCAAGGGTTCAGTCAATTTGAAGATGACATCTGGAAAGAAGCTGACGCTCACTGAGGTTCTTCATGTGCCAGACATTCGCAAGAACCTGCTCTCTGGATCTGTGATGTCAAAGAAAGGCTTTAAGCTAGTGTTTGAATCTGAGAGAGTTGTAGTGTCAAAAGATGGTGTGTATCTGGGTAGAGGTTATCTAGCAAATGGTATGTTCAAGATGAATGTAATGATCATTTGTAACACCAATGCGGCAAACAATATAACCGCAAATGATACTAATAAAGCTTCTACTTCTTCTGCTTACTTGATTGAGTCAAGATTATGGCATGGTAGATTAGGACATGTGAATCTTAAGTCTATGCAAAGATTAATGTCTTGTAATCTACTGCCAAAATTTAAATTAGACAAAGACCACAAGTGTGAAGTCTGCGTTGAAGCAAAATTTGCTAAGTCTTCGTTTAAAAATATTGAACGAAGTACTGAACCTTTGGAATTGATACATACAGATGTATGCGATTTGAAATATGTGCAAAC